CCGGTAAATTGAGAGCTTCGCTTTCTGGCTAAGCTCCCTCTTCACCACAACGGACCGGTTAAGCGCCCGCATCACTGCTGACGCCACCCCAATCCGCCTGTCAATCTCCCGCTCCATTCTACCCTCACTCGTGAACATGATCCCTAGTTACTTAAACTCCTCCACTTGAGGCAGGATCTCCCCCCTTTCCTGGAGTGGGCAATCCACCCTTTTCCGGCTGAGGACCATGGCCTCAGACTTGGAGGTGCTGATTCTCATTCCAGCTGCTTGTTAAGCACACCGATGCTAAATAAGCGGTGCTGTTTTAATGCTTTTTTTTTTTTTTGATTGTCTATGGCAGGAAGAACAAAGTAGAATTTGCCACACCACCCAGAGCATATTAAGGGCAGAATGCCTTCGGAAAAAGACAAAGAGCTACAGTTGTAATGAGCATTATACACAATAGACCTCTTTCCTGGAAATGAAATGGATAATATTGATGCATATTTTCTCTGTCAGACACGAACATTAGACAGGACCAAAACACTGCAAAGGATCTTGGAACCAAGGACATTAAAATTCATGAAACAAGTAGGTGTCACATAGAGGCTTTGTGAAGCAGCTGCAGCAAGTGATGAGTTTGCATTAACATCAGCATGACATTGCAAAGCAGGAACTGACTTCACTCTAGCTTAATAAGGCACGACAAAACAATAGCATTAGACAGAGAGTGAGAACAGAAGTGCAGGAGGATAACCAAATTCCAAATGAGAGTAACTCTGAACACTGAAAATTAATTAAGCTTTTTTCTGTTTCCTGCATGACCACACGAGCTGTTCTCAATGCTCTTAATCACAGCCTGTTTTTGATTTGGGCTCCAGGTTGAGCAAGTTTGCAACTACAGTTTAAAGTAAAACAACAAAATGTGTCTTGTTTAATGGCAGCCATAGAGGGACCTGCTTCATGTCAACCGGTTGATTGCTGGAGAAAACACAACGGCAGCAAATTGGCATAGTTTCAGATGAGATACAGCAGTTATCACACAGCAAACGTCAGCACAGAGGGAAATGAGGGGACATTTGGGCATAGCATAGGCCTGTCCTGTGTCACTGTTATGAAAGAGATGTCTCAGTGGCAACAAAGAGCCCCTGTATTTTTCCCCCAGCACCCATCCCACCATCCCTCAGCCCAGCCGCCTGTTTGTCCTTAACCCCCTCAACCTCCTGAACTTCTTCTGTCCCCCTCTGCTCACATAACCCTGTCATTCTTCCCTTGTCTTTCACCTTATTCTCTCTTTTTCTCTCTCATACTGTGCTCTTCCCATGAATCAGCTACTGGCTACATTGGTGATAGACCCAGTCTGACCTAGTGTTTCCTCTGAGGAGGAGAGATGTCCCTGTGTGGTGTTTTAATAATAGCACAAAAATGAAGAACACTGTAATCTAAATTCTGATTTAAGAAATAAGTAATTTTTTAGAAATAGAATTCCCCCTTGCATATGTAAGTTAAATTAAGTTATAAGTAAATATAAACTAAAACATCCCTAAAGAGGTACTCCACATATTGTACCCATAAAGTTTAGTTTACTCATTAGTAGGAGAACATTAATAAACAGGTTTATAATGTCTTCTGTGGCTCTGGATGAGCTTTACGTCAACAAGGTTATCCTGGATTAGTCTTGGAGTATACAGATTTGTAACAGTAAGCCTGTATATGAACAGGGGACATGGATTTTAGAGGACTGGGACAGGGAGAGAGGGTCTAGGGAAAGATGCTGTTGAGATCAATTATTAGAATTGTAGGAATTAGCATTTTGTAACTTTGGTCCCATGGATTTATAAAGAGACCTGGATACAGTGTTGGAGGTGGGCCCTGTTCATTCCTATGAAAGTTGATCAGTGGTGCTTGAAACTAAAAAACTTCCCATACTTGGATTTTCTGCATTGTTGGGCCCATAGAGCATGAACACTAGAGACGTCACTGGCCAAGTGTCTAACATCCAGTTTAGCCCTCCACTAATTTGAATACAGTGAAATACAGTGATTTAGTCCTTCAGCTCTTTTAGACTTTTGAAATATTATGAATAAAAATCTGACAGTAAAACGAGTCATTTTCTGGGGGTTGTGACCCAGAGGTTGTAGTTACACGGTTTGGTCACTATGTCAAATTGGCTTCAAGGTACGGTGACTTTCTGGGGGTCTGTTTGACCCATACTAAGGACTAACAGTCAGGATATCACAGCATCTGCCACATTTGACCATTTTGAATGCTTCTTTTTTTTAATCTCTCTCACAAGTCCACCGACATTATGACTTAATCACTGAAGTACCCCTTTAAGAAGAACAAGAGTAAACTTATTTAAATGTCAGAAGTGACGCTATTGCCTTTATCAGGACTAAAAAAGTCACTCAAAGGCCAAGACATGTTAGCCTGCAGACCTCTGCATCAATGGCCACATCTCAATATTTATTAAGCTATTCAAACGGGTCTGGTGTTGTTCTCATCAGAACTCTAAGGGTTAATAATGTGTCATCTTTCTATGTCACAGCAAGAAAAACTAGACAAATTCACACAAAAACCACTAGAGGAGTGGAAGACAGACATCTGTGCAAGTCCTCCACATTTGTATAATATTTCAATGAAAAATAAAAAATTAACTGCAGCCACTGCCACTTCTGTGTAGAGTGAAAATGATGTCAGGGGATGGTATCCTCTGACGCTCCAGGGGATGTCAGTCACTACTAATTGGTTAGGACAAAATAACATCATCATCCAAACAGCAGACCCTAACATGAACACAATGTAAGACTGAAAAATGAAATGAAACAAAATGTTTTATGTCTGTCATACATACATAGACACAATCACACATGTGAGGATGTGCATAAAGATATCCTGCACCATTGCTGTCATGGAGGTCTAAGAGTAAAGGGTGTCGTGTGTTTGACAAACGGTAAAGCCTTCTGAGGATATTTTTTATAGTTATAGGTATGAATTTACACCAATTTTCACCATGTACAGCAGAGAAATAGGAGACAGAGGTGCCATTGAGTTTATAGAAATTGTGAGAAATGTGCATTATCATCAAGGCCAGGATATAAACTCTCACCTCCTCTATCAGGGTTGGGTATGACCTCACTGATGTGGATTTTATAGATACAACATGACCATTGTGGGCACTTGTGTAATGCAGGGCAATTGAATAACTGGGCTTGACCTGTTTACTAACCAGACCCAGAATCATCTGCTGGTGCGACCTACATAAAATCACCCAGCAAATCTATAAATGACCAAAGTGCAGTCGCAATTAACAGTGTTTGTTTGATATGATAGATTTTGTCAGAGAAAATGTTCTTACACTTTAGAGATACAGTGTGTCCTCAGAAGTGTCAGGTTGTGTCTCATTAGTCAGGTGTCTGACTTTAGAGTTTGTGCTTTAGTTTAAAGAGTTCAAAAGTTCTGTTGGATGTCAGTCTATAAGCTTTGGCTGCAGTGCTGATTACACAGGAACTTTTACATTTACTAGCATGTAAGGAATTTTAACAGTCAGAAGACTGATTTGCTCAAATGCCCGAAAGGGTCTTCATCTACCTCTTGTGGTCATGCAAATAGTGAGGTTGCTTCTCTAGAGAAAAGGCATGAGTAGTGTAACCCTGTTAGAAAACTAACCAAACCTTACCTTAGAAACAAAATAGAATAGGTCCAAACCTAGTGTGTGGCTGGACCATGTATGAAATGCCAAAGGGCTTTGAATTTGAAACAGAAAATGGCAGCATGGCAGGACATCAGTCACTGATGTAAAGGCATTTATACTGTAGTTGTAGCTTACGCAAGTGACCGATGCTGTTGTGCTGAGCACTATTTATACCTTCAATGTATGTTGATTTATATTTGTGTGGTGGCGTGTCTGGGTCACTATGCAATTACACAGCCAAGATGCTAGTTGGCGGTGAGGTTTCATTGCCACTGTGTTGAGTTCTGTGAAGTGCAGTGATTGATTCAGCCAGGCCCTAAGGCAGTGCAAGGGGCTTTGGAGCTAATTTTCATAGTGGCCAAACAGTTGAATATAACTGTCATGTGATTCCTTGTGGCCCAAAAAGACTTTTTGCCATAGACTTACACTGGGAAAGAGACATCTGTAAATCAGTGGATACAATTTTTTTGAGCGTCTCAACACCTGCAAAATGAGTTGTTTCATTATTAGAATTTGATCCATTTGGTCTGATAATATTGGAAAAGTCTAGAAGAGCCACAGGATTGAATCATTTCCTGCCAATTTTATAACAGAGTGCTAAACCGGAAGTAGCGGACGCTCCAGTGCGCCTGCTTTGTGGGCCACACAGCGCTGATCATCAGGGTAATTTTACACACACAGTTGAACTTTTTGGGCTTCATCAGCCAAAAAGTCACATGAATCATTGCTCGAAACATTTCAAATATTAGAGTTTTTTATAGAGGACTCCTCTGAACTGACCTGTTAGAATTGTTTTTTCTCCATGGCTTATGTTCTTCAAATAACTTATTTGCACTTACAAAAAAGCATTTTTCATTAATAGAAATTTTAAACATAGACTCAGACTGATAGACCTGTAATGTCCTAACAGGGCAACATGTGACACAGAACATTAAACAAAAAACAACAGAACAGAGCAACAAGACAACAGTTTCTAGTCAGGCAGTTAGTACAGATCAGACTCCGACAAAACCATGATCTTCCCACGTGTTAATAAGTACATTAAACACGCGCTCTAATTTTACCACACGATCTATCAGGTTTCTTATCCGAAATAAATTGTGCATCCGACCAGTTTTGCTCAATATACAAAAGCCTCCAGTGCCTTTCAAAAATTCTGCTGTTCACAAGCTGTGAAATTGTGAATGGTAAAGCACATGTACTGTAATGCAATGAATTGTGTACAATTTATAGTGGATGTACACTGACAACTTTGAAGACTTTTTTGCCTCTGCAATTCTTGGTAAAATAATCTTTGATGCTGACGATGACAATCTTTCTCTCACAGTGAAATCTGACAACAAGGACAAGCAGGAGAAGACAGACATCATGTCCAGCAAGACAGACAAGTTGGACGCCTTTGACAAGAAAGAGAAAGAAGAACAGCAGAAGAAGGACAGTGGCCCAGACAAGAACCAGAAGTCTGAGAAGATTCTCAAAGATGAGGAAAAGATGGAGAAGAACAACAAAGCCATTGAGAAGGCAGAGAAGGCGGAGAAGGCAGACAAGCCGGAGAAGACCAACAAAGATGAGAAGAAAGAAGAGGAGAAGAAGCCAGCCGAGAAGAAGGACGAGAAGGGAGGGAAAGGGACAGCCAAGTCTCCCACAGGCAACGGCAGCAAGACCCTGCCGAGCCCTGACAGCAAGAGCAAGGTGGGTCACACACGCACATGCACACACAGAGAATACTGCTGTCCACACACATTTCCTACAAAGAGATTCACATACTCACAGTGAAAGTGTCCAGTGGTCACAGAAACAGCCTCGTCACCCAAAGGTCACAGTTTTGAACCCTGCCACAGCCGGTGCGTCCAGCAACAGCCTGTTCAAGTGTCCTTGAGCTAGACACACAAAGCCCTGCCCATTCACACACACACACACACACACACACACACACACACAAATGCTCAGGCTGATAGCAAAAATTACAGATATATTCTACTTCAGCCAGTGCACTGCTTCTACTACTCCTGCTGGTCTCTTGAGTGTGTTTGTGTGTGTGTGTGTGTGTGTGTGTGTGTGTGTGTGTGTGTGTGTTCACACCTGCATTTTAGATGGGTGAAAGTTTGCAACAAAATTGATTTTTTTAAATCAATTTTACAAATATGCTCACAAAGACAAATTAAATCTTTGCAACTCTTTTGTGTCAAGTTCAATTTATTGAACATTGACATGCAGACATTGACCATTAGCAAACCATCTTGGGGAAATGGAAAGCGAGAGAGTCCAAAATGGAGGATGCTAATTATAATAGTTTATTAGCTGTGACACACCATCCACTTTTATTTGGGGATGCAACTAACCATTATCCTCATTATGGAATAATTTGCAGGTTATGTTCTCAATCGGGCCATGAAATACCAAAAAACAGCAAAAAAGGTTTGTCTCAGTCAACCCCAAAGTGATGTCATCAAATTACCTGTTTTATTTGAACAACTAAGAATAGCAGCAAATCCTCATAAAGGACAAGTTGGAATGTTGATAAACAATTAATCAATTGTTGAAATTGTTTTAGGTTATGGTGGTGGGTTATGATGGAGAACAAAATGTGCTACAAAAGAGGCCAAAAGAGGCTGGTTTTTAGAGCACAAATTTGTCTTTGAAAAACTTGGAGAAAATGCATAACCCTCCCATCACCATTTTTTTAAACTTACCATTTAATGTGTGAAAGTAAATTTAAAGGTCGAAGACAAAGTCCTGGAGTTGAAAAAAAGCCTCAGATTTTAACTGTTATTGTGCATGTTAGTAAGCGCAAACAGTTTATTCTTGGCCAAAAATTGAAAAATTGTTCTTACAATTATTTCTGTTTTGACATAGTCTGGCAATGATATATAGTGTAATTTTGGCAAAAGAATGAAAACATGCCTTCCAATCCAGAAGGCTTGGAAGGCATGTTTTCTTCAAATATCTGCAGTAAAATAAATACAAAATGGAACCATGTAAATTTGTATGCCCCTCTTCTAAGCCACAAAAACATAAATCCTTCCCCAGTCCTTAAAAAAATATTAGCGCACCATCCCTTGCCCCTTCATAAATAATGAACAGTCCCTAAATTATATAAAGTTATTGTTTCATTAGTCACCAAGCTAACAAGCTTGCAAACTGAAAAGAGGTTAAACAGCACAATATGGCAAAAACAGATGGAAGCTGAGAGAGCTGTTGTGGCTGACTGGTGCAAGCTCGTTCACATCTGGCTAGCCAAGACCCCAGGAACACCGCCACGCTTCAAAGTCAATTTGATATGGTGGCCAAGCTGTGTAAGTACAACTTCCAGGGCTGTCATGGCAACAAAAAATCTGCATTGTCAAAGAGACATTTGTAAATCAGTGGCTACATTTTGTGTTAGCATCACAACCCCTGTGAAATGACTCATTTCACTATCAGGATTTGATCCATTCAGTTTTAAAACATTTTGAAAGTCTAGAGGAGCTGCTCGATTACATCACTTTGTCCCCATTCAAGTGAGCAGAGAGCTAAGTTAGCCACATGGCCAGTCAAAGTCTGTAGTGCGTCTGCTCTGTAGTAATAACTTTTTACCTGGGAAGTTAAACTTAATTGGCTTTATGCAACACTGTGTAACTTTGATGGGAATTAACTGGGCCTTGCCTCCACCGCCGTATCCAGTTCTCTTTATACATTAGGCTAGTCTGTAAACAGTCAGCTTGCAAGCCACAGTAGTTTAACTAGCCCTGTGTGTTGTCACTATGATGGACATAATATTGAGCACTTCTAAACATACTAAAGGCACAGGAAGTGGCACAGCAAAGTTCATCTATGCACCCTCACTAAATAGGCATTGTGGAAGCTTGCCGCAATGCCTCAATGCCACATCCAGTTCTCTTTATACAACTATTTTTAAGCAGTTACCTTGCAAGATACCGCAGTTCGGCAGCTAGCACTGCGAGTTGTGACTGAGTCACTCAAAAACTACTAGCACTGCCTCTTCAATGAATGTGCACAGATGAACTTTAATGTGCCACTGCGCCTTGAAGTACTTAGTACTAAATATTATGTTCATCATTTAGATTCTCAATGTTTGTGTATGTGTGTGTCCAACATCTGAGAGCTGATTTCCATATCATATGCTACTTTTGGACTGCTGCTCATTTCATCAGATTTGAGGCTTATAATTTTATAATTTATGACCCATGAGCTCTCTGAAGTTGCTATAAATTGCTAATTTGATTTTAGATTTTCTTTTACGATTGTCATATGGTTGCTGGCTCTGCTGCCATATCACGCTGTCATTTGCAATCAGTGATTTCATCTCTGCTTTTTCTTTCTCAATCTCTATCTGTCCTCCTTTTCTTTCTTTCTCTCCCTCCTCTCTGCTATTTTACCGTATTATGGCTTCTTTTAATTTCATTATCACCAGCCTGAAGTGGGTTCAGCTAAACCACACTCAGCCAATTCCCGCCCATCCACCCTCTCCACCAATGGCGAGGCCACCTCGGCCAAACGCCCCTCCCCCACCTCAGCCAATAAAAAAAGCCCTGTACCCAAGGCGACCACACCCACTGCCGCCAAGCGGCCGCCAACAGCAACTGGCTCCACCAAGGCTGCCAAGGTGAGTATAATACACACAGGAAGATCTGTTTCTCCTATGCAAATTGGCTGATTGTGTATGTTCCATTTTTAAAACGATTTTACTTTGTCAGTCTGTGTTTTTGTGGACTAGTGAAATATCATCACAGTTCAAAATCACATTTAACTCAGTCCAAATGCCCTGAAGTGTTGTTGTTTATCTAGGATACTTTGGGAAAGTAGACTTGGTGTATCCCAGCATGCACGTCTGGTGTTAATCATCAACCAGAGACAATGCTGGAGGATATGAGCTAAGCTGATGAGTGTTGTTTTTGTTTTAATATCATCAACTGTTATTTATAACAAATAATGTATTGGTATTAATCTTTCAAATATGTTGTTGTTCTATTAAAATAAGGTGCAGTTAAGACGGAAAGTCTCCAGCAGCCTCATACAGGAACTCAAAGAAATATTTACCTCCTGTTAGATTGCTCCCAATTCAATAAAATGTTATCGGGCCAATCCATTCAGCCTGTGCTCAGTAATGATTGTTGTCCTAATGATGCTTTTCTGTATGACCTATGAGCCTATGAAAAGCTATATAAGCTATCTGTGATCATAATGACAGCATTTATGGATTAACCTCCATATTACTCAGTTATTTTACATAATAATGTGGATGGGCTAGAATCCTTATATAAGGCACCCATCATATCAGTTTACCACAGTGTATAATTCAACTGCCCAGACTTGATTGCTGGACCTGTTCCTCTGAGTCTAAAGAAATACAGAATGTTATTCAATCGTCAAAATACACAGGGCAGAAATACAAGACTTGTAAGTTAGTGGTCTGTCAGATATTCTGACCGTTAGAACTAAATGTCTGTCCAGATGTTATTTTAAGAATCCTCACATCCCACTTGCCAGACATTGTTTGTATTGCTTGATACTTCAAGATTGAAATCAGTATTACTCATATTTTAGACTAGAACAAATATAGATTATGTGCAGCTGTGAGAACTGTTAGTAAGCTGAATATGTTCAACCTCTCCGTCTGATAAAAGTTACCATTGACCACATTTATTCTGTCAACAAAACAAAACTTTATTGTGCAAAATCAGGTTATTAAAATCTAAATCCCTACATTAAAACTAAAAAAAAATGAAAGGATTCTTTAAAATGTAATGTTGTCTTTTCCCTTCATGCCCTGAAGTTTTGCAGTCAGTGGAGATCAACTCCAGCGCCTGGCTGTAGATATCTAAGCAGCTACAATTGCAAATTGAGCGTAATGTGTCCCTCTGTAACTAACAAGTATTAACTCCAGAAGATATAAGTTGGAACATGAGGAAGGCCCTTTGTCTACCGATTTAGATGTTTGACCCATTGTTTTGAGATGCATTGATTAATTGGTCGAACATCAGCTTCCGACGATATTAGCCTTGTTGACTGCCAATGAGCATTGGCTTAGGGTAAATTCTAACATTATAATGATGCATTTAATGTAATCTGTAAAATGTGTTTTTTGGCAGGAAACTTGAATAAATACAGCTGTTTGAAGGAGAAATTTGTCGATGTTTCCACAGCAAAATAAAATAGATATTGGAGAGGAAATTCTGATGTATTATATAAAGTAACAAGGTAATTGAAGTAATATTTTTTAAAAGATATTTTTCATGTGAAATTATGTTATTTATTCAACATTGTTTGATAATGTGTATGTGTTGGCTGTGTTTTTGACTATCTGGTTTTTTAAATGTCAACCCATTATTAAACAATCAATGCATTCCCACCATCATATATCATAAATCTCTTTCCTACCGTGGCTTTTTAAGCTCTTGTACATACACGATCCTGTAAGACTGACATCAGTGACCATCCATCATACATATGTCTATACATCCCATTCTTTTGAAGGCAATATCTCAAGAACGCCTTGAGGGAATTCTTTCAACATTGGCACAACTGTCCACAGGGACTCAAGGATGAACTGCATAGATTTTGGTGGTTAAAGGTCAGATGTCAAGGCCACTATGACCCTGCATAAGTCTCATTCTCGTGAACTTGATATCTCAAGAAAACCTAGACGGAATTTCCTTAAACTTGGCAAAAACATTCACTTGGACTCAGCCATGAACTGATTAGAATTTGGTGGCCGAAGGTAAAAGGTCAAGGTTACTGTGATCTCACAAAGCATGTTTTTGGACAAAAGTCAAGAATTCATACACTAATTATGACAGAATTTCACAGAAATGTCCAACAGGATTTATGAAGTTATGATATTTTATATCCAACAGGTCAAAGGTCAACTTCACTGTGACATCATAATGTTCTGCAAAAACACTTTTCTGGCCATTACTTAACATCATTTCTCAGGAGCAGAAGGGTAGACATTTGGTCAGATATTTAATTGGTGACACTCGTCCTGGGTGTCCATCTTGAAACTGTACTAACTGTATAGATCTTCTTGGCTGTCGGGGGGAAAAATGTGTGAAGCATCCATCACAGACATGGATGTGAAGTGCAACTTGACCGGTGCACGGAGGCATACAACTGCAGGCAGTAGTTCTGTTTTTTTTTTTTTAAATCTAATTATGAGACATAAATCCTCCTCCTTCCTCTCCCATCCTGTTTGTCATAAGTCTGTCTACTGTTTCTTTCCCCCCTCTCTCTCTTCTCTCTCTCTCTCTTTCTCTCTACTTATGTAATGGTTGCACGATTGGCCTCTCATAACACCGGAAAACTGGATAACATCGCCTTCGTGCACACAGCAGCGACAGTACATGCAGACAAACAGATAAACTCTCATACTCACAAACAGTCAAATAAACACCCCCACAGCTCATCTGTCTGTGTGTTGTGATTTCCAGACTGCAGAAAATGAGAAACGCCCACCTGTGGCAAAGGCCACGCCCACACCCCATGCGACTGCCAATAAGAATGGCTCCTCTGCAACTCCTGCAAGTAAACCTGCTGGTACGTGCACACACACACTTTCACAGTTTGCATATCTTCATTTCTGTTATATCTACAGCATCTTCCTGCCCTCTGTCCCCGATTGTGTGATATGAACACTGTTGTCACAGACAGTATCTCCACTCTGCTCTGGCTAGTTCATAGTGTTGAAAGTGCAACATGACCTCTACAACAGGACCTGAACTCTCTACAGTAGCTTGGAAATGACTCACAATGTAAACTGGCACCACTCCAGGCAACAGGCAAACTGAATTGCTACCATATGTTACACTTTATCGGATTCAAGAGCTGGCTTTTGAGAACACCAGACTGGTATTTTTATCCGCACATCACAAACAATATCTCACCTCTCCCAGAGAGGAAGCTATGACTCAGTCAGAGCTATGATAGTCTGCTTTTTGTGCACTTCAGCTCAGCACCCTCAGAGAATATGATTCATTCACCCAGTTCACAGTGCTGGGTGTTATGTACTGCTAGGTGCATATTTCATTTTAGTTGCATGAGTGAACTCCATTACTTTTGTATCTGTTGCCTCGATGGCAGCCGTTTAGTCAGAATTCATAATGCTTCTGCCACGTGATGACAGCATTACATGCAGCAAGACTTTATCAACATGATGGACACGCTGTCACTCCTCCATAAACGGTGAAATGACTCATTTTTGCTCAGATGGCCTGCAACACAATTTTTAACTCACCAGAAGCCCTTAAATCTCCTGTACAGTTGATCAGTCAGGAACATTTGACAGCTAATAAGTGAGCGGCCAACTGCAGGATTCTGTCGGCATAGCAAGACTTTAGATTGACAGCCAGTCGCCTTCTTCTTTTACTTTTGATGTGCTTTTGGCAATAGAAAAATAGCTGAAAGTCCCAGCTGTTCAGATTCCTCCAGTTTTCTACAGTTTTCTATTTCACAACAAATAATGGAACATCTCGGTGTTTGCTGAATAGTTGCATTTATTGCTGAGCCACATGGGGGGAAAAACTCTACCAACTACCCCACGGCCATGTTGCTTTATCTCCTTATAAAGTCGCTATGGAAAACCAATCCATTCTAGCCAACTCCTCAAATACTGACGCTTGGTCGATGTCCCTCGGCATCTGATACTGAGGAACCGAGACACCCTCAGAGTCTGTATGAGACATATTGGTCTGTGACATTATTAGATGCTCAGAGCAACCGATGTAGCAAAAAAACAAAAACAAATGAGAAAGTCCATGTAGGAAGGAGGTCAGGGTATATGGGTTCATTTTGAAAAAAACACTGAATGCACATAACAAGTGGAAACTGTACATTTCCTGTGAACACTTTTCTGTTACATCCAACACACATGGAGCGACAGTAGCATTAATTTTGACTCGTGACTGACCACCACTGAAAAGAAGTCTATTTACGCTATGCTCTGCTAAATGCTTGTTTCTTTACCAGTTATCCAGAGGTGGGTTCATCAGAGCTTTGTTGCTAAAAACAGCTAACTGCTTCAAAGTTGATGGAAACATTCAAAACATGGGCGTTAATTTTTCAATAGAGTTTGGAATGAGATAGTACAATGACTTCAGATTTTACATGGTCATAGTCAGGGTCAACAAAGAACAGTCCTCTAATGGAGGACATTTTTTTAATTTATGAAAGCTTAAGAATTAACATTTTAAATGTGTGTGTTATAATATCATTTGCAATGACTTTCCCTCCGCAGTAATGTACATAGTGTGAAACTACTTCAAATTGTTTCTGATTGTAGTCATAGGAACATTTAAGTAGCATTTTTTGTGCCTCTCAGCAAACCTGTTATGGAAACTGTTTTATCAAATTAGGCCTTCTTTGCTGACTTATATGTGGTATATGACACAGAAATTATTGCTGTAATGCAAGTCTTTCTTTGTCCTTTTTGGCTGCTCCAAGTACTGGAGTCATAATAACACGAACAGATGCACATCAAAATCAAAGCAACAGCTGGCTTGACCAGGTTTTCACAAATGAGGATTCACTTTACCACAGTGTTTTTGCAGTCCTGGTGCAGTTATTTGAGTTATATGAGTGTTGAGGTATTTGGTAAAGGCTATCAGAATCATGTGTCACTCTATTCTTTTTCTATGTTTCCTGCTTACAGCAAACAAGAATGACAAGTCTGAGAACAAGACAGGAGAGACCAAGAAACCCAAAACTACAGGTAACAACCTCAGAGAAGTGACAGATAGTTAAAAAACAAAACAAAACAAAAAAACCCAATCAGAAACAATACTTACTTTTGTATGGTTCAGAATGACACTAGAATAAGATAAAGGCTATGGATAGAAAATCTATATATGGTCATTCAGTCAAAGCTGCTTTGAGCACCTCTAAAGCTGGGCAGAATGAACCTGTGACAGTTATACTGGCATGTATGGATCAGTTGACCAGCCATGATGTAAGGAAGATGAGAGAGAGAGAAAGGCAGCATTACTTTGTGTCATGTACCATGGATGAAAGGAAGAAAAGGTCTGAGAGATGGACAGTATGGTCTGTCTGTTCTGTGTTGCAGCAAGTTCGGACATATGGTCATTGATCTGTTCAAACTGCAGACAGCAGTGACATGAGAGAAATCCATCCATTGTCTGTCAGCCAGATTGTTAATTACTCAGACAATTAATTAGGCGTTGTGACCCCCTACATCAAACTGCACATCAAATGACAACTGATCTGGCAGAAATTTGGTCTGATTCCCAATTTGGGGTTAATTGGGGCTTAACCTGTATAGTGTCTATAGGAAACAATGTCTAATTTTTACTGTCCCATTATACAAAATAACCATGTCATTGATCATTGGTATATTATATTACATGTAAGCATGATATGTTGATTGATACCAGTACCTCAGTGATGAATAGTAAGACCAGAAGTTCCTCTTCTTTCCTCTTTACACCTCTTAATGGTTAATTCACTTGTTCATGACTTGTGAAATAAAATGGTTGCACAGATTAATTCTGTGAATGTTTAGTGTATTTATTTTAGGTCATTTATGTCTACACACTGGATTTAGTTACTGTTTCTTCCTTACTGTGTAGCCCGTCCTCGCCCAGCCCCCACCACCACTCCTGCTGCCTCTACTAACGGTGAAAACACTCATCGCCGCCGCGTCATCACTAAACCCCCAGTGCCCAAGCAAACCCCAATGGAAAAGAAGCCACCGGTGCCCCGCGCTCCTCGAACCCCCAGGCCCATTAATGCTCCAACACCTGACCTGAAGAACATCCGCTCCAAGATTGGATCCATTGACAACATCAAGTACCAGCCTGGCGGAGGAAAGGTAGGACCACACAGACAGTACAAGAGAGGTCTATGAATAATTCAGAACAGAGATGTACCTGTCAAGATTACTGAAATGCTGCAGAATGATTTTCTTGTATCAGCAAATGATTTGGCTCCAGTTGGTTTGTAATTCAAATAGCTACTATGTGCTGTACATCATAATAACATCTTTTAGTCAGAGGGCTTCCTCTACACTGGGACCTGACTTGCTGTCAGAACAAATGCTAATCAGTCAGTCCGTGAACAGTTAACACTGTTAAATCTCAACTTGTTTGAGGAATAATATCCTGGTAGTTTGCTAAATAAAGTATAAGTGCTGCCCTGCAAAGTCAATGAAATTACTACTTCTACTACAGTCATAACAGCTGACAAAATAATTATAAATACAGTTCAATGGCGGCAGCTGTGATGCATGATTGGCTCTAATCACATATAGTGATTGATCACAGGGAGGGGTACAGCTGCCACACAGACAAAACACATCGGAGCCAAAGAAAATAGAAAAAGTGATGTACAATTCACATTGTTCTATATATTTCCTTATAATGTTTGCATTTGCTGTGTACTAGTTACATGACAAACACATGTTAAGCAGCAACTATTTCCTAAGTAAAGATATGTGGAGTAATCGTGTCCTGAGCAGAGAATGAGGTGCGCTTAGTCTGTGTGTGTTGTAAACCGAGCTTCTCTGTTGGTTGTGTATATCCCACTGGCTAGTTAATTACCGCCGCTCTGCATTGTGCTCATACGCCAGTTATCATTGATACGGGCAGGGCATTGTCGTAGAAGCGTAGTGCACACCCTCCGGTTTCCCCTTGCTAACTCCGATAAGTCTTACAGCACTACTGTCATCAATAGCACTGTTTACAATGTTAGCACTGTTAGCTGCTAGCTGGCTCAGCCACGTCCATGTTGAGAGCCGTGTGCAGACAACCTCTGAATCATGTATATGCTCCCAGTGTCATATAGAGCTCCTTTAATAACTTAATACTTTTTTTGTGGCATGCCTTTTCCATTCCATAACAAAATCAAATCATAACACAGAAAACAATGAAAGGAGGTTATTGCATTTCAGTGTTGTCCAGCAGAGAACAGCATAGATACAAAATATACAAAATACTGTTGTTAGTGGTCACGAGGAAGTTTTTTTTTTTCTTTCTTTCTTTTTAAATGAATGCAAAATTTTTCCATCCTGTAGCCTAACATTCTAGCCACCTACAGAGAATTCTGCCAGTATCATCCCCTTCAGCATCTGTGTAGCTCTCTGCTGGACAACATGCAATGCAACACACCTCTTCACTTTGTTTTCAAGTGAAAAAATTCAATCAATTTTATTTGGTACATGTAATCATATAAGGTACAATCCCAGTGAAATTTAATCCTACCAGTTCCTAGGAAGAAGAATAAATACATGCATGTGATTGGTGTGGTGGGTTCTCAAGGAGTGTCCTCTTTGAGGATCCTTGTGGCCTGAGGGTAGAGGCTCCTCCTGAGCCTCCCAGTGCTGGCCTGGTGTAACTGGTACCTTCTTCTCAAACTTAACAGGAGGAATAGGCAGTTATCCAGGAGGCTGGGATCTTTAATGATTCTCCTGGCCTTATCCTTGTAGTGTCTGGTTTAAACATCCTTTATGCAGGGTAGCACAGGGCCTGTGGTGTGTTCAGCTGAACAGACCACTCTTTGAAAGGCCTTGCAGTCCTGTTCAGTGCTGTTTCTGTACCAGGCAGTGATGTTCCCTGTCAGGCTGCTCTTGATGGTGCAGGAGGAGGAATTTCCAACCTGTATCATTTAGACACCCCAGTATATAAGGGGATATTCTAAATTCCCTCAAGCGTCTAAGATGATACAGTCTGATACAGTGCTCAGGTCAGGCCCACAGTGATGTGGACACACCACAGCTGTGTTGTCAGCAAACTTGATGATGGTGTTGGAGTCTGAAGTGGCTACACAGTCGTGTGTATACAGGGAGCACAGCAAGGGACTTAAAACGCAGCCCTGGGGTGCCCCAGTGTTAAGGATGCGGGTGTGTCTGCCCACTCTCACCATCTGGGGTGTGCCTGTCAGGAAGTCGAGGATCCATATGAACAATGGGGTGTTTAATCCCAGCTCCTTGAGCTGTGTGACGAGCCTGAAGGGGAACTGTGGTGTTAAACGCTGAACTTTAGTCAGTGAACAGCAATCTCACATAGCTTCCTTTCTTGTCCAGGTGGGATATCATGGGGTGCAGTAGCGAAGTGGAGGGTATCTGCAGGTATACAGGGTATACTCACCTCTTTTCTGGCCGTTTACAGTAGACCCACCTATCAGCCAAAAAGCCATTGGGAAATATAGAAGAGTATATCCACTTCCTCCTTGGTAACCTACCCATCTACCTAGTGCTACACCCACCTCATCAACTACCACTATCCTACTGGTCGTGTGGAGGATGTCTTCTGTGATGTCTTCTGTAGATCAGAACGGAACAGTAGGCAGCTGTAGTGGGTCCAGTGTGCTGGGTAATGAGGAGCAGATTTAATCTTCAACCAGCCGTCCAAAGCACTTCATCACCAGAGGTGGGCAGTAGTCATTCAGGCATGTTGGTTTTGTTTTCTTGGGCAGAGGACTGATGATGGGCTCTTTGAAGCACATGGGTATGACAGACTGAGCCAGTGACAAGTTGAATATCATTGTAAACACCATAGCTAGTTTTTCAGCACATACTTTGAGGACCCGCCCACTGACACCACCCGGCAGAACCGAGTCTGCAGCATTTGTAACAGCATATTGTGTGGCAGATCTTCTGAGGATAAAGTGGCTTTTTCTGTAGAAAATCATTGTTGGTCTTGATGCAGGGCTGGTGTGTCAAAAGATTCCATGAAAACATTAAGAATGTGGTCCTTAGATCCTCATACAGATGTAACAACAATGTATCTGAGGCCGATAACTAAAACAGATAGAAGATCACTGCATGCTCAGTCATGGATTCTACTAAATGCACTGGATTGAGTCACATTTGCGGCACTCTCATACTTTCCTCTGTGCAGTGCAAACAGCACAGTGTATTGTGGTGATTAGCTGTATAATAGTGGATAAGATTTGGGTGGGTGGAGAGGGGAGGACATGCCCTGCTCACAGTATTGCTTCAATTAGCATTTGTAATGTGTTCAATTAGGGGAGGTAATATGTTGTTTTTAAATATGCGCATATAACTCACCATTACATTTGATACAGCATATTGGCTTTAATTTAATCTCTCAGCCATTACTTTCATCTTTTTAGGGTTGTTGTTTTTTTCTGATGCATTATAGATTCTTGCCGTACCTCTCCAGGTGTTTGTAAGTTTTTATGTCCTAAGATCTGCCTATAGTTCTGGAATTGCTTCATTTCAATCTTCTCTGCTTTTATACATTGTTGTAAACATTTGTTTGAGGTGAAGAAGTAAAAACTTCCTTTCTGTGCTCTAAAAAATGGGTTAATTTTCATCTGTTTTACTTTAGTATCTTTCTGTCCCATCTATTAATATTTCATTAACCGTCTTCAGCAGTCAGGCAGCAGTGCATATAGCTGTAACTGGCTGGGTAGACAACCTTTGCAAACCTTTTAAGATTTATCATATCCAGCACAGATGTCATCTCTGCCCTATTTATGCAGGAAACCACATGCATGCTCCTTTTTACCCTGTTTCATATTCACAGTGATTCCTCACTCCCTCAACCTGTATCATTTAGACATAAGCTCATGGCCAATTAACATTAGATCAGCGTAGAGAAGGAGCTGCAGTTGCCTTCCAAATGGCTTTGTGAAATTGGCCTAATGTTGCAGAGTCTCTGGTTGTCGGCATCAAACTGTAATGTCTGGGCAGTATTCACTCTCTCAGGCAGATGTACTGTGTTTTGCAGGAGCAGGTTTGTTCCTGCTGTGTTGTCTCTCTTCCCTTTCAGAGACATGCTCCTACTCTTTTTGTCAGTCTGTCAGAATGAAGCCACTGTACACACACAAACACATCGCCACCCTGCATCACAATAAGTTGCACTGACTCATGCAGTCTCCAGTGATGCTAATATTGGTTTATCTATTATGCATTTTAATATTTTCCATTTGACAGGAGCTTATTGGTCTATTAACCTTTCCATCCAAAATATAGTGCTGGGGTTGTTTGTCTGAACAATACTACATACTCCAGTTATGTGATATTTGACTGTTGTTTTCTGGTTGTGTAATTATTCTTTTTGGTCAACTCTTGTCACTGACAAACTGTAATGTATTGGTACTAATCTACTCTAATTTTTTGTCATGTTTTGAAAAGTGGTCCATCTGCTCCAGTTCACTTTCATTTGCCATTTCCCATCTGATACAGTGCATCTGATTGGCAGTGCTACAAACATATGTACACATATTTGTTTATTATCCTCCCATTTGATTGGCCCATAATTACATCTAATTAGTGCTACCACTATCAATCATTTACAGTGATTCATACACCCACACATTTGCCAAGTAAATTTGATTATATAGCTCAGTTCACTTTGCTTCTTTTTTAACCATGCTCTTATTTCTCACACAATCATACGCTTCCCTTTTAATTGGCTGTAACAACCCATACAATCATCTGATTGGTCCAGCTGCTAACCCCACCAGTTCCCATGTCCCCACCCCTCCACCTGCTCTTCCGACCCGTTGTGTTGTGGCGTGTGGTTGGTTGGAGGTTGTATTGACCAAGGGGGTGGTTGTCTTCCCCAGGTCTCCTCCACCCCGAACAACAAGGCATCAGACCCCTCCACCCCTGCCGCCAAGGCCAGAGTGAGTCCCTACCATCTACACCCTCACACCTCACACACACACATCCTCCCACCTTCTCTCTGTAGCCACCACATACACTGCCCATTCTACATCCACCCACAACACACCACACCCTTGCTGTTTACAGGTGGTAACACTACATAAAAAACTAATTTAAAAAAACTATATATAAAGTATAAATATATACTATAGTAAATACTATATTCCTATTCTAGTTATATATAAATATAACTAGTAAATATCAGTCCACAGTTCTTTCATTTTGACTGTTACCAAACAACAGTTTTTTTAAGGGAGACTGAAAAGAACATTTCCAGCATCACTCTTTTCATGTGAGCAAATAAATCTCAAAATGTATCTAAACAATTTTTTTGTGGATATTGTTTCATGTAACCCTTGGTAAACAGTCACTGTGGTAACAAGCAGTAATTACAGAATACTGGCATTTTGAATTTCCCTACATTTCCTAATATTACCTAGAGCCAGTCACTTTAAATGTATCACCAGGGCCCAGTTGTTCAAGAGTAATCTGATCAGATTTCAGCTATTGGATTTGATTTCAAGATCAAATCTTGAAAATGTGTTGTTCAAGAGAGAAAAAAGGATTCTAAATGTGTTTAGATCATGTAATCCAGCCTTGGTTTAATTCTGGATCAAACCTTCAGTATGTGTTGTTCAAAACTTTTTAGTAGGATCAGTATACCTTGGATTTCAGGTGAATTTCAGGAACAAAGTGTATTAAATTATTATTATAAATTGTACATTTATTTATATTTTGCATTTAATACAACAGGTAATGATAAAGTAGACATTAGGCTACCTATTAAGCCTGTTAGTACAGTAAAGTGAAAACAAAGGATTTTGTCCCCATAAATAATTCCCTAGATAGCTGTCAATATCAAACAAAAATTATCTAAAGTTACAATCTCCAAGATCTCATTTTTAGTCTCATGGCAGCCTTTACAGCTGTAAGTGGTAATTGCAGTATGCTTGTTGGCAGACTGCCTACACAGTGATATGTGGTCCCATTCAGAGCACTGGTTATCCAGATTTGGTCCTCTTGAAAACTTTCTATCTGGATCAGGGGAAGCCAATCCAAACCAGCACAAAAGTAAGATAGATTGGGTGATTCTGAATAGCAAAACATGGGATTTCCCAATTCCAACTATTCTGATACAGACTCAATTTTGAACAACAGGGCCCTACCTACCGGAGAGGTAGACATGAGGTAGTTGTCCCAGTGGGCAACTGTGGTACCGCAATAAAATATGGAACATATCAAACTGAAGGAGGAATACCATAACTAAGGATACTCCAAATACTAGTACTATTTTTTATTTTTATTTTTTTTAAATGTGAAAAGAGCCCAGTACAGATTAGACAGCAGCAGTGTTATGAGGCGTAGCTAAGTGGTTCTGGGACCCCTTGATACTTCACTGGTTTTACTGCATCTTGTGGTACCCAGAGATACTTACTGAAACAGAGACATTCAGAGACAAGCCATCCCATCATACACAAGAAGCAGTTTTTGTATGCCAGTGAGGGATCATGTTCTTGTTGCTGCCCTTCTTTTAGGTCACTAAACCTGGAACAAAAAGGTGAAAACTTTTGACATTTTACATACAGATAAGAAAACAAGTTTCTCTTCTGTAATTCAAGCTCTGATTCATTTTTACAGCTTAGCTCTACCTTTGCTTGAAAAGTGTCTCTTGTATATTCTGCAGCAGATAGCTTTGGTTTCATAGGGTCAATCTACACTCCATGATTTCCTCTCATTTCCATTTACATTTCCATCACATCCTAACATTTACCTCCACTGAGCTTCATATACTGTTCAAGGCATCAGCCAAACTACAACCTGTTTTCTAACAATATCATCATCTACCTCTCTTTATATCCACACTTTCAAAGGACACCCCAGTGGGGATCGATGATGCATTTTACATGATGTTACTACTTGTACAAAATAAATTGATTGAAGCTGCTGTGAAAAGAAAGAACTAGAAATTGCTTTGCAGCAGTTCCAGTGCAAAGAAGGAAGGAGTGCAGATATGAATAAAAAATAACAATAAGGTGCTACATCTCTCTGAATGAGGTAGATCTTAGGTAGTTTGGTAGGTATTGAGGTAGAGTTGTGAAGTTTGATTGCAACAGGAAGAAAGGCCTCTATTGTGGCATTGTAACGTGGTGGTAACAGACTAGGCTGAAGGTGCTCCTGTGTGACCATCACATGGTGGTGAGGATGAGAGTCATTGTCCAGCATCCTCCCTGACACCACCAGCAATGAATCAAGCTTCACCCCCAGGACAGAGCCAGTTTGGATTGTTGATTCTGTTGGCAACTGCCCTCACCCAGCTGCCCCAGCACACCACAGCAGAGACAACAGCAATGGCTACCACAGACTGTTAGAACATCCTCAGCATGGTTGGCTCTGGCCCATCTTAAACACATTGTCTGTGTTCTTAGCCAAGTCCAGCTTGTTGTCCAATAACTCCTTCGACCTGTCATGCAGGTGGTTAAGTTCACACCACTCAATGATGTCCACAGCACTTAGCCTCCATCCTCTTGCTGATGCAGCCCACAATTGCGAGTTATCAAAGAACTTCTGCATTTGGCAGGACTTAGAGTCCAACATGTAGAGGGTGAACTGGAATTGTGACAGAACCCTGTAGGGCTCCAGGTTGCTCATCATATTGTCAGTCACAGTGTGTTGAAGTGTTTTTGTTCACCTTGGCCTGACTACCAGTGTACATTGATTTTAGTGCGACTAAAGGCTACTCCCACAGATGTCACTGTATAACACAGAAATGGCCTCATGCCTTTTGTGCCAGTCTACACGCTCTTGCAAACACCACTGCAAACCCCCACAGATAAGTCATGAAATTTGAAACATTGTGGTATGCAGGCTCAGTGGCTGTGTGTGGCTCAGTGCAAGACACAAATAATACACAAATAGCATTGTTGGAAGTGTTAACAAACAAACAAGACTTCTTGCGTGCTAGTTACAGATTTGTCCACTGCACCAACGTTACAGGACATTGCAAGGATGACAGTGCAACAGTAGGTTCACATAAATGGTTATAGATGGTTTGCACAGATGAAGAGAATACAAGGCACAAAGGCACAAAAGTCATCCTTAGAAGGATCTCACCAGTAAAATGACTGTGTGTCTTCAGTCATGAGGTACTCCATGAAGTATGATCACCTTTCCCTGGTTTAGTTTCTCTTAGTCCTTTTAATACACTTGGAGCAATAATGGGAAACATTTTCAGCATCCTGCAGTGCCCCTCTTTTGCGTTAGCAACATTCCTTACTAAAATTCAGGAGACATGACGAACCAACTACTACTACAGGTGTAATAAAATAGATAGAGGAAAACTTAGACTCTGTTTAGAGGCTACTGAGCTTTGTGTGTGTGTGTGTGTGTGTGTGTGTGTGTGTGTGTGTGTGCGCACACGCTCATGCGTACGTGTGCTAACTGCTCAGTGAGTCATCCTTTGCTGGTGCCACCTGCGTCATCATGCCATTTTCATCCTGGAGAAAGAGGCTAAGACAGAGACACAGAGAATAGAGGATGGCGTCAGAAGTCTGCTGCAGGGCTTTTTTACAATACAACCAAAGAGGCAATAAAACTGATATCACAACACAATGAGCAGGAGTTATGTTGTGGCAGAGAGAAGGGGGGGGGGTCCCTTTAATTCCTCAGTGGTAGAACACAAACAACTGACCAATGCATAAATGTGAGCCTGCTTGATTAAAGCAATACATCAAGATTGTTAGAAAATGAACAGTTGAAATAGGCATTAGGGGCGGAGAATTGAGAGATTTAAATCCCTGGTAGGTTAATAGTTTCAGTGCAGCAGACTGTTCATTGTGCATTATGTTGAGTGACAAGCAACAAGCATTATCTTACAAGTGAGATTAAGGATAACTGCGCTTGTTTTTACAGTTGCCAGTGTTTCATGTGTCCTGAAAATAGTTAAACTCCTTTTGTTGGGGTCGAGTCCAATATGGCAATACAGCTAAAATTTATTCTTAAGTGAGACACACCTTTACCAGGTCTCATGGTTCACTGTTTTTACTGTCTAGTTTGGGACGAGGAGATCATTGCAACAAGCAAAGTAAACGGAGAGGAGTATCCTCTGTCTTCTGTTAGTCTGCCTAATGCCCAGTCTCTGCAATAAAAGTGATGAACTACAAGCTTGTACCTACTAACATCATAGGCACATTATGAGACAATGGGCCCCTGGGCACAGATATGCAGAAGACCCCACAACCTCTCCCACACAGGAGGAAGACACATTGACTTTTGGTTTGACCTCTTTTTTGTTGTTGCTGTTGTGCATCTCTCAGTCCGTATGCATCTATTTGTGGTTTTGTGTGTCTTTGCGGTTGTTTGTTTCTCTTTGTAGTCATTTTGTTTCTTTTTTGGGTCATTTTGTGTCTCTTTGTAGTCTTTTGGTTTATTTTATTTTGTGCCTCTGTTGCCATTTTGTTTATATTTTGGTTTTATGTCTCTTTGTAGTCATTTTATTTCTTATTTTAAGTCATTTAGTTTCTTTTTCGTCTTTTGTGTGTGGCTTTGTGGTCATTTTGAGTCTCATCCTGCTCAGTATATTTTCATCTGAGTGACATTTTGCAGGTGTAGGACGGGGGAGCTTCTGACACCTTGGGACCCCTGTGCCCAGTAGGCCCATCCAGTAATCCATCCACAACTAACATCATGGCATCAGAGACACTTAGCAGTGACTGAGATACAGACTTGGATCTGGATACAAATATTCAACTATTCATGCTTCAGATCTCTTGCTGTGAAAACACAGACACCAATTCACATGAATCTCCAGTACAGTTGCACTGCTGAACTGCAGGTCGTTTTAATCCTACTGATCACTTGATTTGTCCTTTTTGTATTTGTTGTATTTATGGTGTCCCTTTGAAACTTATTTATGTGTTTAATTATTTTTTATATGTATTTATTTGCTCAGTCATTTATGTTGCATTATGTTTATCCGTTTGTTTGTTTGTTTGGTTTGTTTGGTTTGTTTGTTTTGTTTCCTGGCTCTTTTTGGTGTCTTTGTGTTATTACCCTCTCTGCAAAATTATTAACCCTGCCTACAGACAGAGTTGAAAATCAAAAATATCAAAGAAATCGCATTCAACACATGCCGCAAGTTATTTTGCTTATCACTTAATATTTGGGCTGACCATTGCACTGAACTCTCTAAATCTGTGTGTTGCTTTGAGAAAATCCAGACATCCTGGCCAACCCAACCATGCAACATGGACTTAGAGTTTGTGCATCAGTCATTAATCAGGGCAGAACAACAGGCTCATAGGTTTATGCAGAATGCTCCACGACCTGAAAGGAAAATCTTTTGTCTCCCACACCCCTGTATTAGTCGCTTGCAGTTGCTTCTCTGCTTAGACCAGCATGTTTTAACACAAAATCACCAAGTGTCCTATGTAATGTTCTGTTGCATGTGCTCTATTTCCCCTTCAGTGTTTGTCCTGTGCTTGATCAGTTTTAATTCATGCTGTTTATGGAAGCGCTCTGTTGTTATTCAGTCAGTATCCTCATCTATTCATATTTCAGCACTGATTTTTGTAAGACTTTACAAACATTTCTTTGAAGAATCAGTCAAATGAGCTGCACCCTCTTTTTGAACCACAGTGATTTTGTTGCATAATGTCCCAAAACCATTTTACAGTGCCATGTGCTGATAAAGCTATCACATCACACAGATAATCATTGAACTTGTGTAGGAGGAATCATTTGATTTGAATGACAGAACCTCTTCCATACTTACAGAGCAAGGCTACTCTGTTTCCTGTTGACTGAAGCTGCCAGCTGATCTGCTCTTCTCTGCTGCTCTTGTCTGTCTGCCTGTCATCCCTTTTTCCTTTCTACTTTCCTTCCTTCCTTTCTTTTCTTTTCTTTCTGTCTTTCTTTCTTTCTTTTCCACCCTCCCTCCTCACTTTCCTGCTTGTCTGTGTGTCTGTCTGCCTGCCTGTCTTTAGGTTCAGATAGTGCACAAAAAGCTGGACTTCAGCCATGTCACGTCTCGCTGTGGCTCCAAGGACAATATCAAACATGTCCCTGGAGGTGGCAATGTAAGTACTGCTGGAGCTGGAGGGAGACTCTGGTTAGGGTGGATGCATTTCTTATTTATGCTAATTCAACCTCATTCAGGCTGTCTTGCTCAAAAGTGTGACCTATTGAGAATCTTCTTTTTATCCCAGCCACAAAACAATCTGATTAGGAATTACTGTTTTTGGTAAATGTGAATTTCATTCACCATGGCTGGATGCATATTATGCCTCTTACACCTGATTGGGCTGTATTTACTCAGTAAATATTTTCAAACTAACAAAAAATGAGTGCACTGTAATCAGCACATTTATGGCTCCCTCTGTTTGCATGTTGGATTGGTTTCACTCAAAGTAAACTGACCACAGGTCCTTCTGCACCCCCTTCCAGATGTTGTTCCCATCTGCTCTAAACACCTGCTGCACTATCATATTCCATCTGCTGTCCTCACAGTCACCACTTTGCTGTCTCAGATCAATTAAACCAAATGCAAAAGGGTATAGTGGAAATGGATCATGTCCAAGTAGTGATATGAAATAAAGCTGTGGGCTGAACCCAGCACACAGCTCAGCTACTGCTCAGTTTCAATGTCATTTTGTCATGTGAAAATACAGCAATTAGCCACAACATTAAAACCAGTGTCAGGTGACAATGTAATGTTCTGCTGGGAAGCCTTGGGTCCTGGCATTCATGCGGATGCCACTCACATGCACCCCCCATCCAAACACTGTTGCAGACCAAGTACAGGATGCCTTGAGCTCTTTGTCACATTCCTCGTGCCATTATTGAGCAGCCTTTGCAGGGTAGCATGGTGCGATGTCCTCCTGGGAGGCCACTGTCTTCGGGGAGTGCCATTGGCCGCAACGGTGTTTGGGTGGGTGGAGCGTTTCAAGTGGCATCCACACGAATGCCAGGACCCAAGGTTTCCCAGGACACTGCATTTTAACAAGATGATCAGTGTTATTCACTTCATCTGTCAGTGGTTTTAATGTTGTGGCTGATCAGTAAAAAAAAAGTCACTGCCTCAACGATTGATCCCACCAATACCTCTCAACCATTGTACTTTTATTCTTATTTAGATGTTTATTTTTATCTTTACTTTGTCTTGTCTATGTTTTTACCTGTCCTAATTGCTTTAGGTGCTGTATACTTATTTATGTGCTGTTGTTTTACATATAAATAATTATGTATAATATCATGTATAATTAACACATTAAGAACACATGTAAAAGTGAGATAAAAGGAGAGTACTTAAGAAACTGTGGAAAGTGGATGAACATATACACAAGCTCTATACATTCGCTCCATACTGTGTATAAAATAGCCTTCTATTGTAAGGGTACATAGAGTAGGCAAATACAGTCCTATAAGGTGTTAATACTACAGCACAAGGGTACTATACAATATCTCAAAACTGACACCAATATTCAAATTTTCTGTATTTCCTGAAGTCACTGGTGTGTTTCCTCAGTCTGAAGTGGCATCATGAATATTTAAATTAGCCGTTAAAAATTCAAATATTTGTGTTTGTATTATTAAATCAGGTCATTAATATTTGAAGCTGTCAAGCAGTCTCTAATGAGGGAGGGCTCTGATGTCAATCGGGCAATCAGAACTAATCATGGTTTGTTTGCTAATAAAATTTTAACAGCACTAAGGGTCACAGTCGTTGACTGTTGGTCCTCCTGTCTGTCATCAAATAGCCTATGTAAATATGACTGATCTTATCACACACTGTCAAGCAGGTCACTGACTCTCAAAATCCATCTGTGCCAGGTGCTGTCAGATTACTGCTCGTTATACTGAACAAAGACTCTGATGATGTGGCGACGGTCTGATAACTGCCATCCTCCAATTAGAGCCTGTTATTAGTTAAATGCATAAATGAAGGATCCTTTACCAGCCCAACAAAACAAAAAGGCACCTTAATGACAATAAAACAGGTCAAAGTAGAAAATGAAGCATGTAGTCCAGCATTTGCTGTGCTGTACCCATGTTCCCACATACACTATCATCTTGTACAGAATGTCATCCTCTCTATAAATGCACCAGGTGATAATGGATGACTGATTTTCCAGACTGGACAGAGTGGACGCTGAAGTATAGGCTGCATTGTCCTGGATGTGGCATCTTTATGAGTTAGTAAAAAGACGCTACATTATGATCTTTCCTCCTCCCCAGGTGCAGATCCTGAATAAGAAGGTTGATGTGAGCAAGGTGACGTCCAAATGTGGCTCAAAGGACAACATCAAACATAAGCCAGGTCGGACTTTTATTCTCCTCTATTTTATTTATTTCATGATTTTATTTGAGCTCTTTTTGTTCTTATACAAACCGTCTTTATTACCTCAGGTGGAGGTGATGTGAAAATTGAGTCCCATAAGCAAAACATTAAAACTAAATCTAAGATTGGATCCATGGACAACGTGGGGCCAGGCAACGAACAGACCAACGGACACAAGGTCAAACTTATACGCAATCACTTATTTAGAGAGTTAATGTCTCTGCTTCTGCTGACTCACTGTGCTTTTACTGGCTGGCACCACAAGATGGTGTGGTAGCATGAAATAGTCACTATATAAAAAACTTAGTGTTCTTTGTGTGTGTGTGTGTGTGTGTGTGTGTGTGTGTGTGTGTGTGTGTGTCTGCCCTTGTGTGTTTATATGTGGTTACAGGAGGAGAAAACAGAGGAGAAGTCTTCTTCACCCCCAACAGGACCAGCAGGTGTTGCTAAGGCAACAGCACCAGGAGGTGTTGCTAAGGAGAATGGGGTGAAGGAGCCCACACCTACTCCTTTTGGGGGAGACGGACTGAGGGAGCCCCTTAGCATAGACAAACGCATCACTGAGACAAGTGGGTGTAAACACACACACACACACACACACACACACCATCAGCACTGAAGTGCTCGTCTTTGATTGAAGCCAACCTACCATTCGACAAGCCGACTTGTCAACACTTGTCAGACTTCCCATTGTTAACGCAGGCAGATTTGCCACTTTAAATTCTCAGTAATTTTTGGAACAATGGCTCTTTGATTTCAGACAGAAGTAAACAAAAGCGAGCTTCGTATTTAGAGCTGACAAACATAGATTAGTTGGCCGAAATGACAACTGTTGCAAGTGTAAGCTAATGCTTAAACTCTGTCTCCTGCTGACTTTTTAATGTTTCCTAATCACTTTCTTTTTTTTAACAATAAGCCTGTTAAATGTCAGATATGCACATAATGGCTACGTACATAATAGTATGTCAAAAGACTAGAAGGCTAGAGCAAAATATCCACCAGCTGTCACCAGCTGATGATCCATTTATAAGGCACAGAAATAAGCAGCAGCATTGTTCTTGTACTGTATGGTAGAGCAAGTATTATAGTACAGTATTATTAATATAAATGCATTTGAAATGTTATTTGTTCTTACAAAATGTTTGGAAGATTAGAAAGCTTACTATAGAAAAACATAGTTGGACAACCAACACAGAGGGTATGTGCAGTAGATATTTGAGGGGGATGAGGAGGGAAACATCCTGCTTGTTAGCAAAATGACCAAAATGTGTCCCGTTGGTGGACCGCAGTCTGGATCCATATCCAGACACCATCTTAACTGAACCTCGACCTATAACCAATAAATTATTGAGAATTAATGCATTTTGACTAGGCGTTTCTAGCCTAGCACAGCATTTCTAGCAGGTATGCCCTGGTTTAGCAACCCAGGAAGCTTACAGATCAATTGCATGCATTAAAGGAGAACACCACTTAAATTAGGAACTACAGTATGTTATTTCTATGGCCTATGAAAGTTCAATCAGTAATTGTGAACATGAGCTATTCATTGTCAAAGCTAGACATCAGAGGAGTAAGTGTCAAACTTGTGCTATCATAGAGTATGAAATCTGAAGCTGCTCCATAGACAATGAATAGGAGCCTGAATTAGTGGACCCACAGAATGTTTGTTTTCTTTTTTATACCCCAAAGAGCTTTATTCTATTGTAGTGTCCTTAGTACTGAAACAGAAAATGTATTCCCCTGGGTGCTCTCAGTGTCATCTGTAATCTCTTTTCCAATTCATTGTCTATGGAGCAGCGAGAGTTTTAGCACACTAGGTTTTTGGATTTGGGAGAGAGTTGTTCATGTTTATTGATACTTTTGGACTGTCTAAGACCAGAGGAATAACATGAAATCCAAAGCTTGACCTGACATGCCTAGTTACGGTTGTTAAGCTATGATTGGACAATCACTGTTGATGGATTAAGCAAATGGTCAATTACAGAAACAACTGACAGTGGGTAGATGTTGTAACCCTAACCTGTGTGTGCATACGTGCTCTCTGCTACATGTCTGATGGAGCGGGATGGTAAAAATAGCAGACACTTTGTGACTAAATGAAATTATGCAGAGACGTACAGACTAAAGATGAGACAGTCTTAGTGGATAAATTAATCTCTGGCACTGCAGATGGCCTCCAGACTCTCTGAGTTCAGAGGGATCAGACTTCTGTGGTTGCCAAACTTGCCTAATTGATGGATGGCTGTTGTGCTAATACAATAAAAAAACAGTAATGCTTTATAATTTGGCTCATAATTCATATGAACCTGCACCACAGCTGGTAAAATAAAAGACCATCTGGTTGGTAGAATTGAAACTCTGTCTGACTTTCACTTCTCTCATCTTTTCTCCTCTTTTTTCATTTTCATTTGGCTACTCCCTCATTTCTTCCCCTCAACAGATTGAGTCCCAGTGTCCTGTAGATTTTGGTGGGACACGCATGGCGCTCGCCGACCTGCCAATCAACCGACCAACCAACCTACCACGGCGCAGTCACTTCCCTTTGGCCCCGCCCTTCATCTCGCCCACCGCAGCACCAAACTGACCGATCGCCTCTCAGTGTTTCTGGGGTCCGCCTGCCAGCTTCCTGCTACCAGCCCTGACCTTTGACCGCTCAACGGTTGACCTTTGACCCTGCCTACCACAGAGAAGAGCACTTGCTGTTTGTCTGTGTTTGTGTGTGGGATTCCACCAGCTTCTCAACTCCTAAAACTCCCTTGTGAGCACTGATTTAGAAGACTTCAATGTCAGATCCCAAATTTAACACCACCAATGCAATAAAGCCATTACAGTAGCTAATGCTGTATGGAAGTATACTGAGCATTGCCAGTTTTAGAGTATTTCCACTTATGAATATAATTACTGTTTTAACATGCTTAGTGAACAAACACCCTTAGAGCTTAGTTTCTAAGTCTAATCTATGGTCCCTCCTGCTGGCTTTTACAATCCAAAACCACTTTGATCTTAAAACCATGTTAGCAGACCTATGCTAATGCTAATATTTGCCCCATCTCCATTCCCAGTCCATGTCCACTTAGCCTCAGACCACACTCACCAGCTGAGGGACTGTTACCGGTCAGCAGCAGGGCAAATACTGTCAGGTCTGCTTTAAATCAACACATTCCAGCCTCCCAGCCAGCCAGCAATTATTTCCAGATTTACAGTATCTACAGCACTGCACGTTGTCACATTGTAGGTAATTCTACAGCTCACTCATCAAACATTATCTCCCATTATATCTCTTGATATCAGTGCACCAGTGTCTCACCGAAATTGATTACAATAATGCCTCTCTTTATCTCTGGATTATTGATATCATGATGCTCATCGTTAGCAGTGATCGGTGCGGAGGACAGGGGCTTACGTAGAGTAGACAGGATACAATTGGAGACGTTTGGAAATAGAACTAAAGAATAGAAATAGATCTGAAGATAGAGATTAAAACCAGTGCAGAAGCATTCAGGATGTCTGACAATTCCTTGGCTATGTTCAAAAAAAGATGTATTTATTGACAGTACAGTTCAGACGAATTTTATTACAATCGGGAACATCATGTAATGATGTGATCAAAGCATGATAATCATCAGGAAAGGTAGGCGTTAAGTGACGGGGGAGCCCTGTGGCTTCTCTGGGTAGCCTTGGCTTAAAAAGGATTTGGCACTGAACACAGGCATTTGATCTTGATGCCAAATAAGTTCATTTAACCTTGAAGAAGAGATAGAAATTTAAGATGAAGGTGTATTAACTCTTCATGATATGTGTTAACCGTAGAGTTAATCTGCTAGATCCTGCACCTTTTAGTCATGCAACATGAAAGCATGTATTTCCTGTAGCACTTACCTTATTGTGGACGGCGTCATCCACCATGTCATGGGCTGCTGATGAAAGACCCGGTCACGCCAGCGCTTGAAATGGCAAGATTTCACTGCAAAATTCATTTGTTGCAACGAAATGGCCATAATCAGTGATTTCGCTCACGCGGCAGAAGTAAAACCGTGAACATTTTTCAAATCACAAGTTCAAGTTAGTGAACTTTGACATGCTGATTTGCCAGGGGGGAGTAAACTGTACATTACAGAGAAAAAGAGGAAAATCAGGGATCTGTTGTTACTGAAAAAGTTCTCTGCTTGTTAGAGTCTTAGCGGTTAGCTCACCAGCTAGATTCATTTACCAACTAGCCGACTAGTTCCTGCGTCACCAAGGCTACATTCAGACTGCTCAAATTTGTTTCTCAAATCAGATCTTTAAGACAGACTGTCCGCCCTGTTATTTGCAAGTAATTAGATCGGATTTGTGTGTCCAGACATCACCAACCTAGCTGCATGGGTTGCTGTGGTAACAACAAAGTAACGTAGCTACGCTGGTGATGCAGCTTTTCAGCACAGAAGTGTGAGAAACAAGGTATCAGCATGGATCTGCTCAGCACCTCAAGATTTGAGGTCGTCATTGTGTGTTGTGTTCAAGGACACTTAGAGTGGCCAGAGCATCTGGACTAAGATGCAGCAGTAGAAATCTGACTGGAATTTAAACCACCTCCTAATGTGGGTTGGTCATGGGTTTTTTTGTTGTCTAGTCTTCCTAAAGTTGTTCTGGATATACCAAAAACACAGTTTGGGCTATCAGTCTGAACAAGGCCCAAGCTGCTGAAACCACATAATTTGGAAAAAAGCGCAAATAAATTCCACCATGCCACTTTCTGGCGTGACCGGGCCGTAATTCACCACAACACAATATTTTTTGTTCTTCTTGTGGATTCTCATTAGTTTCCACAAAGTGGCTGGTGGTCTTCCTGCAACCCAATACCTTTATGGTATAACATCAGGGTATACACAGGTCTCTAGATTATATTGCCAACCTCTGGGGATAATGAGTGTTAAAGCACTACTTAACTGTTCATATCCTGCTTATCAAGCTGAACCTTTGACACTTATTTGATCAGTTGTGGTCACGCGGTCTAACGCAACCCCACAAACTACTCTGGGTGTTTCAGGACTGCAGCCCTCAATGTAAGACTTACAGACCCTTAACCTTTATCTTTAAATAAGCTCAGTTTACTTTAGTCTTCTCAATAAGGCTTGTTTCTAAACATCACATGCAACCCTGTTCTCCTGCACTAGAACTCATTGGTTCCCATACAGTCTGATTGCTTGACCCCAGACCTCCCATACATTCTTTAGTCCCAGTCATACACATATAGACTCTCCTGTTAGAGACCCCAGCAGTCACCCTGAGCTGTGTCTGATGTATACAGTTCACATATGGCTATTAAAGACAGACAAACAGACAGACAGCGCCTTCTTTCTCTCGCGCATGTGGTACTTCCTGGTCATGTGGTTCACCCCAGTGGAGAGGGGGTGGGGCTGCAGAGCCACACCCTCTTTTAAGTCCTCCCACTAGCCGGTGCGTCTTAGAATCCTCTCTGTGAGACCTGCTAACTTTCTTCACACACTTACACACAAGCACAGATATACACAGGAAAGCACACACATGCTTGTTGGTGTGCATGTATACACACACACACACACACACACACACACACACACACACACACACAAACAGAAATCACATATACATACAATATAATACACACAAACACAAATAAGCACCCTAAAATAAATATAGTATGCTGTTCATAGAGGCATTTGTTTGTTAATGAAACCAACTCTTTATTGTACTTTGGTGGTCTATGCTGATATTGTTAAAACAATGATGAGCTGTGTCGGTGTGTTGTTCCTATCATAGTCATTGTCTGACATTTTCATCATAGGCTCACCTCACCCCAGCCTCCTCCTTGTCTGTTTCCTCGTCCCGTGTTTCGCTCCAACTCTCTGACAGCAATACAGTGATCTTAGTTGGGAACGCCTCCTGTTACCCGTCGATACACATGACACAAGATGGAGAGCGACTGCAGAAGTTAGTAACGTGTAGTTAGACGTAGGTAAGACGTGTCAATTAAAGGGAATAATGTTACATTCATGGCAAGTATTGAAGTTGGCGTTTTCTTTGCAACCTTTTAGTAACTGATTTATTTACGACACTGTCTCGTAGATTGAAACTACTAAGAGCTACAGTACTACCAAACCATTTGAGGTTTCTAGTTATCTAGTGTCTCTGGCATATATTTTACTCAACATCTGTAGTGTAAATAGATGAAAGTAAATGGTTTTTTTTTCTTGAGCAATTTGTCTTTTTTGTTTGTGTGTGTGTGCGTGTGTGTGTGTGTGTGTGTGTAGGATATCACTGAATAAAGAAAACATTAAAACTCTCAAAGTTTAAAAAAAAAAAATCTTTTTTTTCTACACTGGACAGCAGGAACTGCCCACCTCCAAAATGCCATGAATGCAGCAGTATTTCAGCAAGGCAGAACCAAGAACGGCCTGCAATTACTGTAGCTGGGACCATCCAGTGGTGTTTGAAGTTGTGAACAAATCTGTACTTGTATAATAGAGATCCGTATTTGACATTGTGAATTTTATTTTATTTTTTTCATTAAAATGGTGGTATCACATTCAGATAGAAAGAAAATCTGATCAATTTTGATTAGAAATTTGTCAAAAGTAAAGGGAACATTCGTTTTCTCAGTTTCCACAATTGTTAAATGTCTTAAACGGTCTAGTTTGGACTTAAATCTTTTTTTAATTTGTTTGTAGTAATTTAGGAAATCAACTAAATTTTGGATTCACTTTAAAAAACACTGTGATGTGACTTTGATTTACAGACCTAAAGCATTGTTATGTGTCCCACCTGAAAAAAAATGAGTAGAAACAGTTGTCTTAATGGAGAAGGCCCTATCTACTCACTGTAATTCTATGCATTGTGCATTATAGGCTGGGATGGTCTTCGCTCAAACTTTGAAGGCTTAGTGACTTGTTTGTGGGCTGTTGCCGTAGTTGTCAGATGTGTGAAGTGTTACTACTGCCTCCATCCTGTAGAGAGCGCTGCTTAGCCTCGAGAACACTGATAGTCTGGCTCTGAGACTTAACAAAGGCTGACTGAGAAACCTTACATCACCATTAGAGACCATTTCACCATTAGAGAAACTTCAGTCAACTTAGATACTGTTCTCATTTAAACTAGTTTTGATGGCCACACTATATTATTGTATCTGGAACACTAAATACTATCAAAGTCATATTAATTCTGTACAGTTCCCCTTAAAACTCCAAAGTCTCGTGCACTTTGAACACAGTCTTGTTCTTTTCTTGATGCACTGAAGTGATATAAAAGTTGCTTTACTGTATATTGGTAAAACATTGTCAGCTGTGTACTGTACATGTGTGCTTTCGGGAGCAAAACAGTCTTGGTAGTTAGATGAAGTTATGATAATCAAAGAGCAAGTGGTCAAATAGTCAACAATGAAGACTAGGCAACTAAAAGCACCATATAAGCATATTTAATATTGTACCGTTCTTTCCAAATCATTCCCATGAGTTGCCTAAAAGTGAAACATGATACATGACTTGTGTGTGGATCATATGTGATAATGACAATGTGAATCTTTCTTCAGGAATAGAAGAACAAAGGGATGAAAGCACTTTGATAGGTATAGACAGTGGTTTGTGGATATAACAGAGGAAGAAGTTGTAGTCTTGTGTGTTGGAAGCTCAGTGTAAGAGTGTGTTACGGGATGATCTTATGTTGTGTATTTCGATCGACACATCGGTGCCCCTTTATCTTGGTCAGCTTAGTGGATTTTAGTGGAGCTTTGGTCACCAGTGTTGTGCTATTGGCTATGATGGTTTAACACTCGACTCTCCAGTCTGCCCTCATGTTGTTCCTGTCAACATTCACTGGTTATTACTTTATGACCAAGCTACAAAAACATGTTTCCCCAGTGGGCAGGTGTCAGTTTACAGCCAGTTATAGAATCCTGACTGTATTTGATATGTTTTAAGAGGACTAGCATCAAAGCTAGCCCTGGTAGAACGTTAAGTCATGAATAGATTTGACACCATTAGCATGCAACATGTTAAGTAATAATAAATGATTATCATTATCAGTAGTGTAGTGGTAGTCGGTGAGGTGGGTGTACGAGTAGGTAGATAGGTAGGTCACTGAGGAGGAAGTGGGTATACTGTCCTATATGTTCCAATGGCTGTACTGTATGGCTAGTAGATGGGTATACTGTAAACAGCCAGAGAGTATACCCCCCACTACACCACTGGTCAGTATCCTAAAACAGTGTAAATGAGAACTTGCAGCAGTTGCAGCACTCTACGGTTAGTTATTTTAAAGAGAAGCACTCAGACCTGATAAATTATCCCGTCGCCTGTAAAACAGACAGTAGGGTTTGATCAGAATGCTGCACTTTACACAGGAAGTGAGTGGCATCATCCAGACAGCCAGAAATGACAGTAGATAATGATAAAGATTGTAATTTAAAAAACACAACTTCCAACTTATGATACAGAAGTTTTCACACTTTTTAGATCAGTGTTTCTCCATTTAGAAATTCTATTATTCTTTTTCCTTGTATACAGTTCCATGACCCTTACTTCACATATGGCTATGTAATTATATCTGAAGTATTTTGGAAAGGCATTTGTGCCTTTATTAGATACAGTACATAGACAGGAGAGAGTAAATGACATAGGGGATGTCATGTGGGCATGGTCAACTCTTGAAACTGAAGCAAGATAATGGTGAATCTTTAGTTTCTGTGTTGGAAGCTATATTGTGACTTTACATTAGAATCTGGTCAATTCTGGACAGTATTAGCTTAAAGCAGATCCGTCATTTGGTGTCAGTGCATTGGTCAGCTCAAAAGTAACAACAAATAGCTTTGCATAAATGACAAAGATGCCTTTTAGGTCTTTAGTAGCAGTGATGGCATTATGTAGATTATTATTATTTTTCAACTCTAATATGTCCTGCTGAGTGCAAATCTTGGCCACAATGACCCAAAGGATCTTTATAAAAAAAAAAAAAAGTTTGTTATGTATTTATCTACAAAAAATGAATACCAGTGTACTACATCTTAAAAACATTTTTAAAAATCAATATTGGCCTTGCCTCCAAAGTCTAGTATGGACCAGGCTAAACTATACCTACTGTATGCTATAGTGATAGCACATGACGTTTCCAAAAGAGGTAATTAGATATTCAGTAAGAAGAGCAATGGGCCACTTTATCCCTTTAAAGGTGCAGTATGTGATTCTAGAGAAAAATAGCTGATTGCTGAGTCTCATTCAAAGCTGTCAAGCACAATTTGGTTTGGTAGTTTAGTGTGACTACCAACACAAAGTGTTGGTATTTGACGACCTGGAAATGAGACTCAACAATCAACTAACTTTCTCCAGAGTCGTATACTGCACCTTTAAGTTAATGTTTAATATAATTTTAGAGGATATGATTAGGTTTAAGTCTAGATGTATGCTTTTACTGCTTATTGGTAACCAGTATGGTTATTTGTGAAACACAGTTAACGTTGCCACCTTGCAGCTTGGACAAAAGGTAATAACCAGATTAACTCTGATGTCCTTTCACAACTGTTTGAATCCCCAGTTACAGCGCTTGAACACCTCCCTTCCACTAGTATCTCACACTGTCCCTTGTATATAGTTTCCACCTTGTTTTTATCACTCCAGAAGTAACTCAAATAAATTAAATCAAACAAAAAAAGAAAGAAAAAAAATCGTACTTCTTAACAGGGTGTTGTGGATGTTGACAGATAAGCTTTCACGTTCATAAACCTGTTAGGTTAATAATGGTATTATTATAAGATTGAAAGCATAAGAAAGGAAAAGTGTACTTTTTCCTTTTTTCAGAGTCTGCCTTTTTTTCCGCCAAGAAAAGGGCTGCTGAAGTTTCAAGAATGTTTTTAAAATGTATTAAAGATGCAAGATTATGAATACATGTATGAGGTTTGTCTCTGTTCTGTTTTGGAAGATAGATCACATATGGAAACACTACTTACTGGATTCAAATTGACAGGCTGGAAGGGAGGCAGTGTGTGTCGTGTTTGTATGGTCAGATATACAGTATGACTTCATTACAGACAGAAAACCCGGAATCACAGAAAACAAAATAACACACTTCAGGATTGGTTGGCCAACTTTGGTTGATTAAAACAGAAAGACTCAATTTAATTGGTTTCCACTTTGGTTTGAAATGCACTACTGTACATGTAACACCTGACACACACTGCTCAGCCCTTTCTCTCGCCTATCGTCACCTCCCCACCTGTTAGATTAACCAGACTTAGTCTTTTGGCATGTGTTAGAATGTAATGTTGTATTAGACAGCTCCTACTTAGACACCTTGACATACCTACCAACACAGGACTGAATTAAAGGATGTCTTGAATCAAGTTATCTTCTCAGTTTGAATAACAAAGGCTGAAGATAAAAGACAATTTCAGACAAATGTGCACAATTAAAAAGTGCAGGATAAATCGATGAATACTGAGCTCAAACATACAGTAGGTTTGAATTTGAACTGTCCTAAGAGAGACGGCTAATTGCCTGAAATGTAACTGGGGAAAAAGGTTACCAAGAATAAAAGGGAGTGTTGGTAGATATGCACCTGGAGCCCCTAGCTGTGTCTCCCACCTACAGAGGCTTGTCAGCATCACAGCACTGAAAAGTAGCTTTCTCTACTTGTGTCCTCTACCACATAAACAGCATCTACCTTATGGTAGTGCAGTAAAACCAATATTCCTACAGTTTATTTATCAAGGAGAGCACAAAACTAGAACTCTGTATCACTTTGTAGATGATAAATGTTGTATTGATCTTATTAGTCAGGCTTTGTTATTAATAGGTTATTAATCAATATCAAACATAAGCAAATTAAAAAACAGACAAAGAGTCTACTTTTCAGTACCGTGTAGTGGATCCACTGTAGTGTGTGCTGTATTATTCTGTAGGGCACAACACCATAGCAAGAGCATGCAGAAGACAACAAACAAACTGCTGGTTATTAGAGGCATCTGTCCTATTAGATAGAGCTCATCTCCCCCCTTCAATTCTGAATATTTGGTATGAAAGAGATGTTCATTGTGATTCATTGTTAACCAGTGATGTGAATATTAATCATGAAATAAAAAGGTGAGCAAAAGATCAGACGTGGTCACGGTTGTGTCATTTCTTCTACATTCATTTACATTACACACATGTACTAATGTAGTGTCATATATTTATCTCCATCTTACACAGTGGTTGACCTTTTTATCCAATATTAAACCATAATCAGCAGTTAAACTATACACTCTAAACAAGCACCTCGACTGATGTATGTACGGTATAGTGCTCTTTTAGAATCCTAACTCAATGTGTATTTTGGGACAACTGCATCAGTGTTGATACCAGGAGGGGGGCCACAGCCAAGCGCTGACCCCCTGTGGAGAATGTACTCCTTTAAATTAAAGCTGTATACCATAAAACTTCAGTCATAAGCCTAGTCTCAATAAAATGCCATGTCCTTTTTACTAGCCAAATGTGGCTACACATTTAAAAAAAATAAAGGTCTGTCTCAATTAGATGCCTGTTCTGGCTTCCAAGCAGTTCATTTTAATACAAGTTCCTTCACAAAGCATGTTAGACCTTAAAAGAGCTCCTAAGATTAAAACCTATTAGGAGTAGGGAGGATAAAGGGGTAGAAAGACAAGGAGAAGAAATATCCTCCAAATTCTTGCTCACATTGAGTAAATGAGGTGCTACAGATAAGATTGTGCAGGGATGTCTGTGGTCAATTGTTTCAGAGATTGACTCACATCTAAGATAAGATAAGACAAAAGGGACAACCAATCACATCTGGTAAAGAATACATCATACCTTACAACAGGGTCAACCACACCTCCTCACTTAGATAAAAGTCTCTGTTCCTTCTTTGCTCAGAGTCGCTCCAATAACTTTTATAAATCACTCCTAAAATAGGACTCCTTGCTATAATTTTTTAGGCTAAGTTAGGAGCTCTCTGAGAGTATTCTCAGAATAGTTGTGAATACAGCCCCAGATAGAAAATATTAACTGTAAAATATCAGTACATCAGTATGTGATTCCTTAACTCGTACTGACTTTTTTCAACTCGCCTATATACAGTACGTCAACAGTGTAATAGATTTCCTGAAATTTAGTTTTGACTTTTGGTTTTTCAGGGACCCCTTCTGGCCACCTGTATTAAAAATGTCAGGGGGCGCCACTGATGATGATACAGGTTGGATGGAACCACAAGTCTGAAGCTTCCTATTCTTTCATTAGATTTAAGTGTCTAAGTCTGACTTTGGAGGCTTTGCAGCAACAACTGTTTGCCAGTCTTTTTCTACACAGACCCAGTATATACACTTAATTGTACTGAGTTACCAATGTTTCTAAAGTACCAAAGACAGGATAAAGACAATGACACACATTCTCTAACAAGTGATTAGTTATGGCTCCAAAAAGTAAACTTCTCGAACTTCCTTCCTCCTTGCTTTATTGTTTTAATTACACCAAAACATGTCACTAAGCTGATTTGTCTGTTCAGGAATTTGCAGCTTTTTTGTATCTTCATATACAAGTAACTCTCATTTGGATATTTTCTATGCAGACTGACTGATGGAGAAGGCATGCATTAATATGGTTAATTTATAAATATAAAAAAGTTTTTGCAACAGTAAATGCAAGATGTTGATGGTGGTACACACAGCCTAGTTGACCAAATTTGATCTGGTTCAAGACTTGACCAAGACCAAGAACAGTTAAGAAAGGCGAAAAGTTTTATGTGTGCATAATGAAAATAATATCTGAATTAATTCAGCTTTGTCACGTGGTGCTAAAGGTGGTCATACTACACCAGTGGTGCAAGAAGTAGGCTTCTCAGATATTTAAAGTAGTAGTACTACTTTGTATATTTACTCTGTTACAAGTAAAAGTCACGTTCAAAATTTTACTTAAGTATTAAGTATTTACATCAAAACATCTTCAAATACTAAAACTAAAAGTACTCTTTTTTTTTTTTGTTAAATGGCTGATTTCAAATAATGTCCATTACATTATTGGATTATATTTAATTAATGTGTACATTACCAGTATTACTTCATATAAGGCTGGGTAGGTTGCTTGTGATTTCCCCCATTATGATAAATCTAATTTGTATTATTAATCTGAATCTGTAAATTGAGTAATAATAATAATAATAATAATAATAATAATAATAATAATGACTTTAATTTATATAGCGCCTTTCAAGAAACCCAAGTAACCCTAGTAGTCTCTAAAGATATCATATAAATATCTATATAAAATATAGAGGTATAAAGTAGCAGAAAATGGAAGCATTCAAGTGAAGTACTGTACAAGCTAAGCTCTCGAGTGAATGATGCACAGTGGTGTAGCGGAGGGTACATGCGGGTTTTACAGAGATATAAAGGAGAGCAGGCCCTATCCCGAGTTCCTTCTTGGTAACAAACTCCTGTCTACACCCACCTCAGCAGCCACTTTCCACCACTGTCATACACACCAGCAATGTCAGTCTGCTGGCTAGTAGCAGATGTAGTAGCAGATGTTTGAATGATTTTAATTGGACTGCTGTGCTTTCCAGCCATAGCATATGGAGCTGAATTTCAGTTGACCCACTGGCTAGGAGTGTTTCTACTGATGTACCAGCTGGTCGTGCAGGGGTGGAAGGGTTCAGATCCTTTATTGATATTTAACAGAGATTGAGACAACGATGTGAAATGCATTTCAATTTTTACTTAAAATGTTACAAGGATATCAGAAAGAAATAAACCAAAAGTAAAGGTAGCCTTTTAATCATTCAGAATTGCTTGTTTTATGTTATTATCAGTACTACAATATACAGTCTTAATATTTTTTGCGATGCCTTACATGTAGTACGAATGTTGAATTAAGGGTTGGGATGTAAGGTCAGATGAGACAGTATAACTATACAGGGTACATTTTCTCACCTCATGAGTGAAAAAAACACCTATTTTGCTGAGCCATAGCTGTGAAACCATATTATCAAAATTGCATGCTCCTGTAGGTGTGACATCACATAGGTGGGTGGGGCAAGATTCATCAGGAAGTTGACCCTGCAATGCATGAGGCGGTGAAAATGACATGAGCTTTAGCTAGTTTTAATTATAAGGTCATAAAATTGTCATAGCTTATATATTATACAAACCTTTTTTTTTAAAGATATTTTTATGGGCATTTTTTGCCTTTTAAACCACAAATGTAATACAAATCTGCAGCTTTGAATGTAGTAATCCTGCAAATGTGATAAATTTCCCACAAACGTAATAGCAGCTGCCTACTACAAACGTAACACACAATTTTCCGCAAATGTAATAACTATTACATTCACAGAATTACTTTGTGGCAGCAAATATGTCCTTTAATTAGATTTATTTTATTTTATTCTGCCTCTTGTTAATACGGATTTCTCTGCAGCATCTGGCCTACAGTACCTGTTCAGCACCTCGGACAGCGGCGCTGCGGGATGGGTTGGCTCTCATAGGGGGTCAGGTGCAGGTTGCAAGGTTTTAAAAACCATGGTTTACAATAACTTAATCCTCCTCCACTCAAAAATGTGTTTTCTCCTTGTTCCTACAGATGAATGTTTGAGCCTCACTGTGCAGAATGATGTATATGCAGAGCTTGACACTCGAAGGCTGTTTTCACATTTATCTGCTGAAAATGCTCATATGATTTTAAGGGCTAGGGCTACGAGCCTATGTTGGTGGCTTATGTAGCCTATGTTTGAACCATTTAATTAAAATATGTCTGCATATCAAAAGCCAAAAACTTGAATATGTCGTTCATTCTTTGAAGTAATGAAAACATTTTTCAAGATTTAAGACTGGTCCGTGTACTTTTTGATAGTAACATGGACCAAGACTGTCTGAACACTGACAATTAAAGGCTTGCAAATAATTAATGACTGGTGAACTTAAATTAATGTAGCCTATGTGAATGCAAGAAAGTGAGAATTGCCATGTAGGTAACTGAAAATTTCGTTTGCGGGTGTAACATATCTTTTGTCTGTTTTTGGAGTTACGCTGTTTTTACTTTGTCCCATTAATCCAAACACACTTTGAGTGAATGGGACAGCATGGTTTTTATTGGGTGACTGCCACAGTGCTAAAAGAATTTGCTAATGAAGAAAATGATCAACATTGCAATAGAGAACCATTCTGTATGCTCTGTATGCTCCAGATTGGTGTTTCCCAACCTCTTCATGTGTGCAGGACCCTAATCAACCATAAAAATGTTTATGGACTAGCTGGATTTTGCTTGGTGTTTTTTGCGGGCCATTTGTGCCAGCTGGACAAGCAAATCCCTAAAATGATTCTTACATTTTCCAATTGTACAAATGTGTAGTCTATAGACTGAATGAAAACAATTTTAACATCTCATCAACTATTTGTGTTGGAGCCATAATAGCATTCTCTATATTTGTTTTGTTTCATGTTTAGATAATGGTGACTACATGTAAATAGAAGCAGTTTTGTTGTTTGTACACGGGGTGGCGCACTAGAACAGGAAAACACAGGTAAAATAGGTAAGGTGCAGGTGATATATATATATATATATATATATATACATATATATGTATATATACATGTTTATTTTTTATTACTATTATTATTATTTTTGTCAGAGCCACAGAGAGCCACTGGAGTAGGGCTAAAGAGCTGCATGTGGCTCCTGAGCTGCAGGTTGCCTACCCCTGTCTTAACCCAATCCAATCCTGATAAGAATTTTTATAACCTCAACTAAATGTGTGTGTTTTTTTAACTCAAACATTTTTTACCCAATGAAATTTATTAAATGAGTTTTGGATGTCAATATCTTTTTTTTTTTTTTATCTCAATTAAATGTGGTCAATGAAATTTGGTGGGGGAGAATTAAGGGATGATATTGAAGAGGTAGGGGGTTGTCGTGACAGTGAGGAAAGAAAGCTCTGTATTGTATGAATTGTGGACAAACTCAAGAAATAAAGTTTAACAGAAATGTACATAGAATATTAATTCATAATAATGATTGGGAAAAGAAAAATGTGCATGTTAAATTTTATCAGAGTATGAAATAAACTGTGCAATAAATATGCCTACACTAGCCCAAACCAGTGTTAAGAT